CCACCTGGCCATATGGAAATGCTTGAAGCTTTAATGGCTTATGCTGCAAACAATAGGAAGACATGGGGGTCTGGTTAAGTAGAGAGACCATAAGTGATTTGAAGCTTTCTAGCTTGTGTGTTTCTCTTTGTGTTGACCAAATGTCATGATTGGAATGAAAGATATGAAAAACTGAACTGAGGAGATGTTGATCAAACAAAGTGGTTTTAAGTTTAGCACATGCTGTAGAGGGGGTAAAAGCTTAAAATGAACTGCTTGTCAGATTGCCAAACAGCCAGAAACCATACTATGCAAGAAGTTTCTTTGAAGCATACTGTTTAAGGTGAGTGTAAATTTTAGGGACTGAATGTTATCAATGCTCGTATTCACTTGTATTATAAGGGCACTGTCAAACTGGCAGTTAGATCTTGCCTCGACTACTGCCCCCACAAATGGTCCAGAACGCGGTGGTGTGTCTGGTTTTCAATCAGCCCAAAAGGACTCATGTCACTCCACTTGCATACAGAGTGACTGCTGGGTCTGCATCCGTCCACCTAAACTCTAAAATACAAGCTTACGGTCCTTCTCAGCCACTGCGCTCTTCCAATGAACGTCGTCTGGCTCTGCCATCCCTACACACAAGGCATTCTCCATCCCTGTTCTCACCATGTTGGTGGAACGAGCTATCACATGCCATCAGAGCAGGGGGCATCCCTCTCTAACTTCAAGAAGCTTTTGAAAACTCATCTCTTCTAAGAACACTTCATCTTATAACACCTCTAACATGCACTTCCTATGCAATTCTTCTTACAATTCACTTGTCTTAATTGCACTATTTTTTAACTCTTATTGCTTCCCCTAGGTATTTATCCCATTGGTGCCATATGCATTAATCACTCTTACTAGTATCTATTGTTGCTCGTAGATATCTTACTTCACTGATGCTTGTATGTTCTTCAAATGTTAGTCGCTTTAGATAAAAGCGTCCGCCAAATGAGTAAATGTATATGTGCTTCATGTAAAAGAAAATTGGTCATTTGAAAGCCTTTTTCAAACCTGTGCATGACGCTCTTAGTTAAAGTCAAACAGTGGTAGAGTTTGAACGTAGAACAGAACCTGTCCAGTGCTCCCACAGCAGAAGCTGGGCAACGATTAAAATTTTAATTGCGTGATTTTCTTGCAATAAATTGCATAGTTATGCGCAAAATTTAATAATGAATTCTTAAGTAGTGTATTGCGTACTTTTAATTTAAATGTACTGCTATATACACAAAGGTTCAATAATATGTGGTTTGCAAACACTTTAAACAAATAAGGTGCTGTTTACCAGCAGTATTCCCTTTCCACAGTAGCAATAAAATATTTCTTATCTTCTTCTTATTAATGTAATCAAATCAAATATTAAACCAAAGATATTTTCCACTGCCAGGACATGACCTTTTATCTAGCTTGTTAAAACAAGTTACCATCAGAGTTACAATCATAACATCAAAACAGGCTCCTTCTGAGCTAATGTAGACTAACAATGTTCCGTACACTTTGCGCACTTCACTGCACTCCACTGACCACCACGCTGTTGTTGAGAGCCTGACAAGCATGTTTGTATGCTCATTCCCAGGGGGAATACCTATTGGACGGTTTATTCTTTAATTGATGTCTTTTGGACCAATAGTATTTGAGAAAAGTGGGGAAAAGTACCTCCTCCGCATGTGTACGGATGTTCATTAGGGTTAATGGTGTTCCGTTATTATTTAAATTATTAATAAAGGTCAGGACATTTAATTTGTTTAAAACACAAGTTAATTACTGCTTTAATAAGCTAGAAGGAGTGAGTTAAGCATGAACCATGTAAAACGATAGTGAACAACATTACCATATCTTTCTGAAGAACAAGAATAAGGGCAAACAATGTGCATTTGTTAATTTTTTTTTAACCTTATCTTAATCCTTTATAAATATAAACATCATCACTGCGCACAGGATGACATGCAAACAGCGTCTGTGTCGACAGACGTGCTGCGTCTTTGCTGCCTGTCTCAGTGTGAGAGTGGCACCAAGCGGTCATTGCCCAGAATTGACGTTTAAAAAATCCTATTTCAAAGAATTTATTCAACAAAATGTTGATATTTTAACACAAATATTTAATGATTTGTGATAACATAATAATCATTTCATAAAGACTGTAGTACTGTGAGAATCATTAATTCAAACTATGTACATTTTTGCTGCTGTAGCAGTCTCCACACCCAAGCTGCTTTTTGGACTGTAGCTTGCCCACCCTCCATTTTCAAGCGCAGTGGGCGCACATAGCAACCTAACTGAAATCACACTGAAACAAGCAGCAGGGGGGTCTCTTTTTTGGTCAGGAATAAAAGAGGGGGAAATTGTGATTACACACATAGATAGTTTATAAATAACCTGGAAGTATTTATTCAGCGATCGGTGGGAAAAGGTCATCTGTACGGAATATCGTTGTGTACGGAACATGGTTAGTCTACGTTATTCTTGTGGGTTTTTTTCTGAACAAGTATCAGCAGAAACATTCTTTCTTTTAAACTAGATACAGGCTTATCAGGTAAAGTTATGTAGCCTATAATTTTAAAGTTAAATAAGCTACCGCTGTGTAGCGTACATAAGCCGTTGCCATGGTTACTATCAATAGAGCGCCTGCTGTTTACTCACCGTAGCAAAGAGCAACCCCTAAGACCGACATCTTCCCCAATACTAATCAGAATGCAGTGTGTAGCTATCCACTTCGCTATGGGATTTGTTCGCTTGTCTTGCTTTTGTTTCTACTCTAATTTTGATTTCTATGTCCATACAGATGTTGATGCTCACACAGTTATACCTGTCTGTATATTGTTCTGTATTTCTTCTTCTTGGCATTTTTCTTCTTCAAACAGGCCGCCAACATAATTTCCTGGCAACAGTGAAGACCATTCTCATGTTTGTGATGGATGGACTATGCAAACTGAACACAAACCACAAAAGCAGTACACAAGCATGAAAGCAGACCGTTGGGGTCAGAGAGAGGGGAAATAGAAATCTCTGCTTCCGACTCAATCAAACAAATCCAGAGTGAAAACCGCCAAATACAAACGTGTGTGTGTGCGTGTGCATCTGTGTGTCTACACACTGGGAATACTTGCATGTGACTTTCAGTAGCATCGTTTTTAACATTCAAATCCAAACAACAGCAGCACAAGAGGGCAGGCCAGGCAGAGGTGTGGGAGCCGAGGAGTCTCTAAGGAGGTTCCTCAAAGTTTGTACTCCAAAACCACTGTGAAGGTAAAATACTGTTATTATAGATGTCTGCTCCTGTGAAGTTTAATCAAAATACTTCAAGACAAATGGCACAACTTCACAGAAATAACTTAGCTTTAAGTGTGTGTGTGTGTGTGTGTGTGTGAGAGAGAGAGCGAGAGAGACAGAGAGAGGAATAATTTGCATGTTCATTGCTGTGTCATTGTGTCTTAGAGTCAGAGAAATTTCCATATTTATCACTGTGTGTGTGTGTGTGTGTGTGTGTGTGTGTGTGTGTACGTAAACATCACAGTAGAGACTGTTGCCTTCTATGGCTGAGTTGAAACACAGGTCTTTGGGCTGATAAAAAAGCTTAATGTTGCAGCCTGGTCTGGCTCAGAATATTAATGCATACTCTGTAATATATACTATCACAGACACATAACACACCGGCAGAGCTACAGAACACACATGCAGAGGAAATGTATCTGTGTGGTTGGGAGAAAACAAAGGTTGAAAAACAAAGTTGGGTAGTTGCAACAACAGCTTTGGAGCTGTAGCACAGTTCCTAGTTAATTACTGAAAATCTTAGGTCCTGTCTACACGAACACGGGTATTTTCAAAACCGTGACCTTTTCGACACGGTTTGGCCGTTCATCCACACGGAAACACAGCATCAGGTCACTGAAAGCAATCCTTTTTGGAAACCCCTGCCAGTGTGAGGTTTTTCAGAAACACCGGTTGCAGTCATGTAGATAGTCATGTAGTTAGTCAGGTAGTCATGTTGACAGTAAAACCGGAGTTTTTGCCTTGCAACATCAGAGTGTGTGCCATTATCTGCTGTGTTTGATGACAGATTGTGCGCCACTGCCTGCTTTGTTTACAATTTTATTAGGCTCTTGTATGGAAGCTTTGCATGATTGAAAGTTCAAAAAAAATGTCTATTTCATACTGGCACTTCATGTAGGCCTAGGTCTTAAACAAGCTGTAGATGCTCCTGTCTATTTAATGTGCACGGAAGCTAGCTGCCGAGAAGCGTGAGTGAAGATAAATCAAGTTTTAATTCCAAGAACTAAAGTAAAAAGCTAATTTAATAAAACCAGTTAACTCTGACCTCCTCCCGCTGGTAAACGGCGTAGTTGTCGGAGCAGAATCCAGACTACTACGGGTGTTTATTTGTCCGAAAGCTGCAGCGCTACTCGCCGTCCACTTCCCCGTTCTTTAGCAGCTCCCCGTCGGCCAGTGGATTGTCATTACACCGTTCGCCTGGTCCTCTCCAAGCAACGTCCGAAGCCGCCGGTGACGTTTGGACAATCTCGCTGCTGATAAGCTTTCGCAACATCGCCTCAAGCGAATTTCTCTCCCAAGTTGAAAAATTTGAACTCGCACAAACCAGCGAATTGAACGACAAATGCCTCATTCGCGCCACCCGGAGCAAATTCGCAGGAATTCGCGTCTTTGCATTTACTTTGTATGTAATAAAGCCGCCCAAAACGCTGGATTCACTTTCGGTGGGAACGCACCTTAAGACTGTATTCGGAATGAAATGAAAGCAAATAATAAGCAAGTACTGTAACCACAAAGTAATGTCTATTTAGAATAATGATAATAATAAAGCAACAAGACTGTTGTTGTTTATTTTTTTATCAAAGTGCTGTAAGTTTTTACAAGACTGTCCATCACAAACCAGATGTCTCTTGATTTAAGTTAAAACGTAACAACATTACTCAGAATGTAAAGACAGAATAACAGTGGTACAAACATTTAAACTGTTTCACAGCTGCGGGTCTTTACTCTCACGTTGTTGCTGGACTCGTCTGCTGCATTGGCTGCAGCGGTCTGTGTGGCTGTGAGGTCCGTAAGCTGACGTGAGGACCAGAGGGCTCCATGAGCTGGCTGGCCGGCCGCGGGCTGGCTCTTTAGCTTCCCCCATCGCGTTTGCAGAGAAAATGTTCAAGCACATTTTCAGTTTGCCAACAATTTTCGTAAAACTGCTGATATTTAAAATCTACACAGTTGATTTCTCGCCTCAAAACTTGTTAGAAGTGGATTTAGTGATGAAATACCATATGAAAATTGTAAAACAAGTTCTGTTGTTTTCCTCTAAAAGAAAGACTGGTTGTTGTTACAGTTGTAGTGCTTTGCATTATGGGCCACAGTTCGCAAGGTAGACTGGTCTGACGCATACTGGAGATTTTTCCCAATCAGTAAGCCAGGTATTTTTGGTATACAGATTGCAGATTTTGCTTTTGCTTGCAAACTGCATACTACATACTCCATTTAGGCCAAATCAGTATGTACTACTTGTATAGTAGGCAGTTTCGAATACAGCCTAAGTGTAGCTGTGCGGAGCAAATGACCATATATGGAATACCGGCTCCATCTGGCTCCCTATGTCATAGAACGGAGCAGTTGGTAGAAAAATCTGTTGAAAACAGAGCATTTATACTTTAACCTCATTATTTGAAGCTTTGGCAATATTTAACATAAACATCCAACATTGTAACATTGTAGATAAGTCATAAAATATGGAAAAGCATAATAGGTCTCCTTTAATCCTCTGTGCCATAGAGCTCCATTGTCATCCAAAAACTATTAGAAACACATCAGTGAGCCACACTTTTGTACTGGGTGACATGTTCCTTCATTACTATGAACATGGGCACTGTAGTTTATTTTGAGTCAACCCCAAATCCACAGTTGAAAACAGTCCATAACAAATACACTATTTAGCACTGTTTGCTAAAAAGTACAGTGACCAGCTTACAGTACCATTCATGACCTGCTTTTAAAGAGTAAAGTATTCAACTGCAGCTAATGGGTTTGGGACTGAGACACGCAGGCAGGGTTGGGAAGTACTCAGAGTCGGACTAATACATTGGTGGTTTTGGTTTCTGTTTTCTGAAGCCATTTTATGCCTTTAGTATTGAGATGGCACTGGCATCTTAACCCCAGAGCCACATGGGGTAAATCTGTTTTTGCCCTTTTCATGGGATCTGCTGGCAATAAGAAAAAAAAAAACAAGACAAGGCTTATCCTTTAAAGGTTCAGTGTGTAAGATTTAGTGGCACCTAACGGGGATTTTTGCAAATTGCAACCAACTATCCAGTCCACCACTGCCCCCTAACCTTTCAAAGAGCGTAGGACAGCTAAAGGAACCATTACAGAAAAAAATTCTATCTATCCTACAACTATTATCATTATCACTATAAAAAAAATACCTAGTAGGCCTGTAATGAAAATGGTTTTAGTAATGTAAGTTGAAACAGAATATTAATAAAAAATGTAATGTAATTAAGCCAAAGTCTGCAAGAGTAGAGCTGGGATATACTCTGGATTTCTTTTGGAAGTTATTATACATTGTTACATTATAATGAAGAAGCAAAAGGACTTTGCACAAAAAGCTTTTTTGTTTCACTTTTGTGGCTCATATAGTGTTAGTACTTAACATTTTACGTTTAATAATGGTCTACACCCAACAACAGTTGCTCAGAGCCAGCGCCTCTTTTTTCTTTTTGCCATTTTCAATTACTTCAATTTGACTTTTCCCCTCCTTTTTAATTCACCAGAGGAGCAGACAGTGTGTCACAATAACAAGATACTATTTGGCCTTGGGTGCATCTAAAAAGAATTTAGTGGTATCCAGTCTCATTCAGGCAGGCTGAACAAGAGATAGTGTGGTCAGGCAGACGTTCTTGCACAAAACAGGTAAAAGCTTTCTGCTGTTAACCAATCAACTGTGACCTTTCATGGTCGACATCCTCTTGCTCCCTCAACACCATTGACAAAAATACCTTCAAAGTAGAGAAATAAAAAGCTGCAAACAGTACATCTTTATTTCTTTTTTTTTCCTCAAGCACAGATCAGCAGGTGAAGTGTTGACATTTCCAAATCAAGGAAGACTGTTATTGTGTGTGTGTTATCAGCATGTGTTTTGTGAGACTCTGTGTGTCTTTGTGTGTATGTTATCAGACAACGTATTTCATTTTGTAAGACCAATATATCCAATCTTGCAAGACAATATTTGCTCGTACGAAGCATTGTTACACTTATCTTAAGGTACTTGCAACACTTGAGTTAAGGTTACAGAAACAAACCACAATATGTCCATCATGTCCAAGTCCTGGGCAATGTGTGCCCACCATCCACTTCTCTGCAATATATAATTGTATAGCACTTCATTCACTCAAAGAAACGTTGTCTGTGAACCTAATCCAGGGTTGGTATCGTGCACACACACCTATGCAAGCATGTGGGGGACGCTATCCACCCATCCATCCATGCCTGTTCGCCAGCCAGTTGCCTCTGATGAGTAATGGTTCTCTTAGACATACACAGATACACATACCCTGAAGGAGTGTGTGCTGTGAGGCACCATTAGCACCCTCCCTGTGCTTCTGCTGGTTTTAGAGTTCGGGGGTATATGTGTGTGTGTGGCGCAGCACTTAACACATCAGTCTCACTCCTTATTTTCTGTTGTGGTCTATGGTCTTATTCCCCCTTTAGTTTGCTTCCTGAGACACAGTATTAAGTAGAAATATTTGTATCCAAACTTAAAAATATACAAAGACATAAATTACTGAAATATTCTTACAACAAACTTCAGGCAATGTATGGATTGAAGTATTTTTAATTATCAGTATTTCAAATGACCTACAATGCCTTCCAAAAGAGCCATGCCAATGTCAAGTCTAGTGTTTGCATTATCAAAAAAGCAAAATATGTCAATACAGAGTGAAAAATCACCTCTCATGTCATTCATTCATTTTGAATGGTAGGTTTGCATTGTAATAAAATGCATGTAATAATATTCTACAACTCCAGGATATACAGTTAACATATCGACCTCTGGATTAAACATCTAATCTTCACTTATATTCAGTATCTCCAGTCTATACACAGAGAGCCACTAATGACCGCAGACAAACACTATTCACACTCAGACATGATGGAAATGAAACTTGTGAGGTTACCCTCAGTGCAGGCAGCCAGGAATCAATAATTCTGAATACACGCCACTTAACTCTCGCCCGCTCTTCCTCTGACTTGCTCTCTATCTTTCTCCTTCCAGAAAAGAGGAGAAGTGAATAAGAAGAACAGGCGAGTCAAAGTCACCCCCACCCCCATCCCCCCCATGCTGAACACTTCCAAGTCATTCCTGTTTCCAGAGATAGCGACAGGCATTAAACAACATCGGGCAGGAAATCGGAGATGTGACGACGTCTTCTGCTGCTGAATTATTGAACACTACGAAGGTAGCTAATGTACACTTAGATGGAATTTCATGCAAGGATACTGATGATGACTTTGATAAGACATGTCCCAGACAGCATGCTTTTTTTATCAACTCTTTCTGTCTCAGCTTCAGTCTTACAGAACTGCTTTGGTAATTTCACCAGTGGACATTTGGTCCTTCAGCAAATTTTATCAAACACAATGACTGTAAAACTTAATATTAAGATGATGAATCATAGTCAACACATCATCAAGGTTTTAGTTTGTTTTCAGAGACTTCTACCACAACCCCATCACAATGGATCTGAAAAATGTTTAACAGCAACACAATAAGTGTCCCCATTATCTGGAGTAATTCACAAACATTGCTGTAATAGGTTTCTATGGGACTATTCCTTCAGTAAAGTCATACCACTGAAATTATTTCTGTAAAGAGAAATCTCCCAGATGAATATCTCAAAACTACCTGATGGTCAAATAACAATAGAGGTAAATGAAAGAAATGCTTCTTTGCAATTTGGGTGAATACATTCTTTAAGCTGTCAGCTTCTCATCCTCCCTGTGCTTTCTTTCTTCCTGTTTTAGTGTGTATATTGTGAATTAGTAGCAACAAAGTAAGCAAGAATTGCCATTATGATAAGGTCTATAGGGCTCATAAATATTTCACGATGATAATGAATATGGTGAGGAATCTTTAATCAATTTGAAAAACTATTTGAAGTTCAAGTCAAAATAAAAGGCCTTTGTAAAATAGCATTCAAACCATGTTCTTAAGAGACACCAGGAAGTGGCACATTGAAGTTCATCTGCATGTCAAAATAGGTGGTGCCTCATGCTTGTTAGCATGAAGTGACTAATTTGTGTGTCAAATTTCAGAAATGTTTTGAAACAAATTTTTGTGCGTATACTTTCCCCCGGCTTGTAAATCCACTTATCACCACTATTCCATTGACATGAATTGATTACACAATGAAATTTCACTGCTGGTGTGCTCTTTTATGCTCCTAGTGGGTTCCATCTTGATCAGTCGCTAAAAAGAAAATAAAAAACAATTGGTCATAACTCCATAATGACTGTTCGCTGCATTGTGAATGTTTTCAATGATTTCAGGTAAAAGAATAAGAGAAAAAACATGTTTTAAGCACTTTAACATTAAGTGAGATCTCATTCAAAAACATCTACGATGCTCTCTTTCTAATGTATCATCATAGCTGTCTATAGGTCATACAGTATTGACATTGCACAAATATTAGTCAACATTCCCCTATTCACTCTTGATTTTTTTGCAATCACATGAAGATCATCACTCATTATCGATGGATGGGAAACACAGATGGTGAAGCTCAAGGCGTGAGATCGAAGGCTGTAGAGTGATTTATAGCCAGTCAGTATTTGTATACAGTATATGTGTGTGTGTGTGTATGTGTCTGTGTTGCCTCCAGACAGACCAGTTTCTCAGTGAGGAATGAAAGACTTGGGACGTCATCAGTTCCCATATTGATTTTCCTGCTCAAATGCTTAATTGAAGTTGTTGGGGTATACATAATTGAAGTTGGTTCTCTCAATCACTCTCTCTCACTCTCTTTTCCTCAAACATTAAAAACAGAAAAGCCATACTTCTTCCAACTCTCCACCCTTTTCTCATTTCTTTTCAAGAGACAAGTGTTAATAGGGAGGCCTGTGGCTATGTAGTTTTGA